CCCCCCCCCCCTCTCGACTTTTTTCGATTTGATGTCCCTCTCCCTCTGCGAAGCCTGAAGTCAACTAAAGGGCTAATGATAACAATCAGAACGCCTTCCATTTGATATAAATATTTTGTCTCCCAACAGATCAAATGCGACTATTGGCCCTTGAGACAATCAGTGAAAACTATCCTGCAGATCAATGGCTCCAGGTCTTCACTGACCGGTCATACGTAGAAAAAAAAACAAACAAACGTTGATGCAGGTATTTACTCTGAACTATTCTCATTCTTCGCAGCTGTGGGACAAAATAAATCTGCATTTGAAGGCGAAATAGAGGCCATTAAGATATCATTAGGCCAACTGTGCAATTACTCTTTCGAACTCGCAGTCAGCAATACAGTCAATTGGAAACAGCGAACCACCCAAAACAGCCGAGTTATACAAATGGCAAAACTGTATCAGTTACTCGGAGGAAAAAAAACTGATGGGCTTATGTTAACTACCCTAAAGCCTATGTGTGCTCTCCTCCTCTCCGTGAGTTCCGAAGTCATCTAAGGGGCTAATTATATACACTTTAAAGCCAGCCATTTGATATAAATAAATATTTCGTCTTAAATACGGTATAGATTTGTAAGTGTATTCGAGCACATCTCAGTTCTTTGACTTTGGGGAACAACAGAGCTCACCGACATTAGCTTAACGCTAGAAGGCTTCCGAAATTCATCTAAACTTGCGTCACAACAGTATTCTGTCAAAAATATGTGATGGTAAGATCGTTCTTACATTTACTAGCGTTGCAACGACATGTCATGATTATTAAATCTTTCACTCCAGTTTGGAACTTTATTTGAACAAACTTGATTTCGTGCACAGAGTTATAGAAAAGAAAATGGCAATTATGGAATAAGTAAGAAATTTGAGACAATAAAAGGAATGCAAATAGAAGAAAGTGAGAGAAATCAGGCTGTTGGCACATAAGCGACTACATCTACCGACGTTCTAGGCGGAACTGGACTGCTTAGCATTGAGGAAATGCGAGTTGCAGGTGAACTAAAGACGGGCGAAGAGAAATGTCCTTTCTCAAGCTCAGACATTAGGCGATCCAAGGAGTCGACCATTTTTGAAGCATTTTTGTACTTGAAGGAGATTAATGTTCGGTAGAAGAAGATGGCGAACAGTACGTAGATTATAACAACTGGTCCCACAATCATGAAACACACGCCCGCGGACCACTTAGAGATATTCCAAAACTTCACCCAGCATGCGAGTACCACTACAATGAGGAAAAGGAGCATTCCCAGAGCCGTACTGAATATCCAGGACATTTCGACATAGCTGAAAAATTTTAAACAAATTTTTTTAATTAATACTGGAAGAAAGCGGTCTTCTTTCATCAAAAAAAAACAAATTGTTTATTTTTTAGCATTCCAATATCTCAATACGATTTGCATTTAACGAGTTATTTATATGGTTTTATGCAGCCGCATGTGCCACTTAAATTTCCCCTACAAAGTTCCCTAACCAATGGTTCTTTTGCTATTGAATGGGGTTTGGTTATTTCTTAATTAGTGCTCACAACAAATGGTCAAGATTAAGTTGGGAATTCAGCTCTAGGAAGAGTTCAACAAGTTACCTAAAGTGCTCGTTATTAAAAAGGGCTCTTGCAATGAGGGGTCTAAAGTATTTTGCCTATGAAATCGGTGTGTGAATTAAATTTGGGAAAAGCAGCCCTATGAGATAGGAAAGCTTTCACTAATCAGTAGAGAAGAAGGCTGTACATCGCATTGTCGCAGAGAAGAAAGAGAGGAAAAAAAAGCAGTAGAATATGGAGAGCCGGGGGCACGTGAGTGCACAAAATTCAAGCAATATTCCCTTAGAGGGAAGGTCTGATTGTGTGCCTCTCTGTTTGTCTAAGGCAATCTAACCAGTGGAGCATTTCGGAGTGTATTAAAAATTACCATTAAGCTTTCGATATTATTTTAGTACAAAACAAATTAGTGACAATAGAGCTTTGTGTTGGGTTTAAAATCTTTCGGTTAATTAGACTGCAAAAATTCATTGCTTCTATAACAGGAACGAAATGCGCACCAAAATGCATTACACATCGCTCCAAGGCACTCAAAATGGGCTCTTCGTCCGCACTTTCCACATTGAATCAAACTATCCCATGAGTTATTTAGCGCTTTATTTGCAGTGAAAGAAAGTAACTCGTTACACTGAATTAGGCAGGGATGCAGTCCGTATGAATGGTAGGATTCCATGCAATTATGCCGACAGTAACGCTTTATCGCAAATCATATGATGTACGCTAAATCGTGATATATTAAATGCAAAATTAAGGGAATTTAAGAAAGGACTCAATTTGAATTTAATGAGGCTGTAAATTCAGAATTAATTGAGTAACAGATTGATTCTGTCTGTAGGTGGATGATTCTGTCAAACTAAGGAAGAAACCTCAGGTGAACCCAGTGATTTACTTACCACCTTACTTTCTCGTAGGGAGTATCTATAGTCCTATCAGAGCTCTCACAGATACTGATGTAGCATTCAAGTTGGGGAAGAATACAGGTGCTGATCATCAGAGCGGTGATATGAACCACGACCAGAAGGGAGGCGAAAGCCGTGAAAGCTATCAGTAGCATCTCTGGGATGGGATTATCTTCATCATAGTCAATCTAAATGGATAATAAAAAGCAAATGCGCCTCCACAAATTCAATTATAGCAAAGAAGCCAATATTTTGATGAGTGTTGCTATGTTCAATCTTTATCCTCAAATCACACACTAGTAACTGTTCTCGTGTCTCGTCAGAAGCACTTTCCTAAGTGGTCATGGGGATTCTTTGCTGTAGACTGGAAAACAAATGTGTGTCTCTGCATCTCTGAAATGGAAACAGTCATTACTATAGCGTCCAGGCTATCTGTATCAAAGGACATAGTAAACTCTCCTTGAGTGTGATTAACCAACCCCCGTCCTCAAGTGCGTCTAATTTATCTACCGAATTAGTATATCATAAAACAGTGTAACAAGTCATGCCCTTCCTGAGATCTCGCGGGTCTTTTATTACGGAGTATGTAATGCATAAAGATTATATAATTAAAAATGTGCACTATTTGAAGTGTTCGCTTTCTTCCATTATCAAGCAGACCAAGAACGTTTCCAAATATTTTTTTGTGAAATCACGCATGAACTTTAATCTTGAAAACGGATATCCAGACACAATGATCAAAAGTATTTCGAAACATCGATTTCATTCACCTCATCAAATATTCAAATTCAGAATATTTCTTGTAGCTTTGCTTCAACATCTACTACAAAGGCGACAAATGTATTAAACTAAGGTGTTATGGAAAAACAACTCCTGAACGCAGATACAATGAACAAACTTGGTGAATACGTAAAAGGTCTACTACATTATTGCATAATTAAAAGCGGTACACTAGAGATCATTTCTGACTATTCTTATTCCAGTCAAACCGCAAAAATGATAAACCCATGAATAATAAATAGAATTTGGTCTTAGGTTGTCAGGACTATTGAGAGTTTCGGGCTAGCACTGACTTTGACGTTCCCAAAAGATGAACTCAAATGTTGCTTCACTCCACCCAGAAAATTACAGAGATATTAGTGATTAATGCGTTCACCTTGAGTTTGAATTACAGAGAACTGAAGAATTTTAAAATTTATAATGCTCTAATTATTGTTATCTAAATACTTACTTTAAGTAAATAGATTAATTGAAGGCTATATTAACCATAGTCCAGAGTATAGATGGATTTAAAGGAATTAAAACTTAAGAAACAAAGAGACAATCTGACCTTAAAAGAAATAGCTAGTAATTGTACTAAATATTCATGTCAGAGCCAACATAGTTTATTCAATGTCTGAATTTAGAGTTAGTTTTATGCAAATATTATTGTTACTGACTCAACAGTTCAAAATCCGACGTTGTGGTGAATCAAAAAAGATCAATAAGTTTTTAAGAGAACTAGGATGAGTCACTCCCAAGAAAAACGGAATTTAAATAGGATCTTCAGAAATCCCAGAAGAGCAAAAGGGACTTAATGTTCCACTTTGTAACCCGTAAACATTAATTCATTAGGCATAAAAGATAGGTCAATTACCGTGAGTTCGATCATGGCCATCATCGCGAAACCTGATAAGAGAGCACTAGCCCTACTAGAGGATTTGAGCTTGGCACGACTAAGCTCCAATCTACGCAGCGAAATACGATTAACGGAGCTACGTGGATCAGCGAGAGGTAAATATTCGGCCCATTGAAAATGTCCATTCTCAACGTCATCTCTATTCGTCATTAGGTGAGTTCAGTCAAATCTACGAGAATGACAAAAGTAAACTACAAAAATAATTAATTTAAGCGAACCAATAAGGCTATGCAAATTTAGCATTTTAAAAGCAAACATTGCGAAATGCGTAAAGAGATTAAATAAGTGTATACCTCAAAATAATTCAGTACATAAAATTAAGTGTAACTTTTAATTTTATAATTTTTCGCAACACTACCAAAGGATTTTAACATTAAAAAGCCCAGGAATAGAAAGCTTTAAATTTATAGTAAAGTCATTTAACCAAGCGCAAGTCTCACAATTGCAAATGATATCGAATTATCGCCAAGGTCATTTTACATTTTTGCTAATAAAATGATTTAACGTATATTTATTTTATTATACATATCAATGCATTGGTATTATCATAAACTAATGCGAAATATTTAAAGCTTAATTGCATTATCCATGCAGGTTATATTTGGGACTTTAAACGAACAAATAGTAATTTTAATAGAAGCAATGAACAACTTAAACGTTTTATTTTTAATGAGTGCAAGCAGTATTCGTAGTAAAATAAGTATTAGTTTTTTGGTAATCTGTGAATTTTAGTTTTATCCAAACCGACTCTATATAAATTTGTATTGAAACAGCTGTTGCCAGGAGTACTATCGAAATTTAATCAACTAATATGAAAGCGAATTAGATATGTTATTTATTAATCAAAATATAAACGATGCATACTTCGAATAGTGTTACAGACTTACTGAACAAAACATAATCAATTTCAATATAATCGTATTTATTGTTTTAACCGTTTGTTCCATCTTGCACATTATTTGCAGTTGTGGTGATATCTGTCACATTTATTTTCACTTTTCCATTACTCCATCTTTCGTAAATCATACACGCAAGTATGTTGCTCAATAAAATTTGCAATGAATTCCTTAACCTAGTTGAAGTCTAAACACTATACCGTCTTTTTTATTTTCTCACTTTATAGAGAATGCAATTTGACGTTTTCGAAAAGTTAAGTGAATTAGAAACAAAGATTCACTTGCAAAAAGAGGAAATGCAGAGGAAAGAGGACAAAATTCGGCATTTAACGGACCAAAATAACTTTCTTCTAAATCAATTGGAAGTTAATATGAGGGAGATCGCCGCTTTACGCAAAAGTCAGTCCTCCGAAATAATTGAGACGTTAGAGAAGGAGGTCCAGACCGAATGGAATGTCGTTGTCACGGAATCGAAAGTCGTAGACAGTGCATTTGCTGGTATGTGTTGTTATATTTTATTAACTTGGTCTTTGCAGGTTCTGAGGCTTCCATAGCCGATATACTAAAACAGACGTCTGACGCCGTAACCAGCAATACAGGATATGTATTTGATGAACAAACGGGGCTTTATTTCGATAAAAATAGTGGTTATTACTATGATTCCGTAAGTTTCAACTTTCCGTGTCCATTTCTTTCTTTATTAGGAAAATCAACTTTTCTTCGAACCCAGAAGTGGAATATACTATACCTACAACAGTGAAACCCAGGAATATTCTTACCACTCTTCTGTCTCATCAGAATTCAGCGAAAAATTCAAGGCTCTTCAGGAAAAATGGAGCCGTGATGGCAATGAAAAGGTTCGTTTACTCAGTGTTACTTAAACAAATTATGATAGAGATCTCTTAATGTGTGTTCTTTCAACTTCCCTAATCTATTTTATTATGCAGATCTCGATGCAGGTGATGATCACAGTGTTGACAGCCGCGAACCCTCAATCCCTTCTCTGTCATCTTTTCGGAAAATTTTTAATATTTTCTCTCTTCCACGCCTAGTTATCATCTCAACGAAAGCTATCGTCACCCCGGAGATCGCCATCACCAAGTGAACGCCACAGTCCTCGCAGAAGGCGCTTGAGATCGAACTCTGCATCTTCGGAAGCGTCTTCATATTATCGCTATCGTCGCCGTCGTCGAGGTGCTAGGGAACGTGATCATTCCAGTGGTCGGCATCATCGTCACCATCGAAGAAGATCGCGTTCAAGGTCACACTCCAGGCGCTCGTATTCCAGAAGCAGCTCTTCGAGGGATCGATATCGGCATCGATCTCGTGGGAGGAGAAGTCGGGACCGTTATCGTAGCTCATCTTCTTCATCCCGGTGTCACAGTAGTAGATATAGGGATCGAGGTATATTAACAAATTCATTTATTCACAGCTAACTTTAGGCCATGAAATCTCAAATATGCACAGATAGATATAATTAAGGTGTATTCGCAATGGATCGATGTAACATTTCTTATTTACTTTTAGATGCTCCGACTAATAAAACAAATGGCACTTGTATAGCTGCTACTCCAGTTGTCTATCCTCCTTCTGTGCGTTTGACGGTGCTCGGCTCTGGTCCAAATGGTCCCGCTGTTGGTTCAGTTGGTGTTCTTACCTCACGAGATGCTTCTCGTGGCTTGGGTTGTCTAGGTCGGGATAACCGTTTCTGTCAGCACATCTTTGATCTCTCTCAGGATCCTGAACTTGATGAAATTCACTGCGAAATCACCTTCAATGAGCTTGATCAGGTCTACCACCTTAGAGACAAAAAGGCTCTTAGCGGTACCTTCCTCAATGGAAATAAATTAGATGGGGTATGTTGGTTGCATTGTTCTTTTAATGAGATTCACTGTTTATTTCTGAAATGTATTAGTCGTTTTCGTTCCAATTTATTTGTTATTTTAAATCAAATGTCCGGTTTTGCGTGGAAATGAAACAAAATTTCAATTTTATTCTCTATTGATAAGAAGTAAGTAGTATGTTTTTGTAGGGTGAAAAGAAGGCAATAAAACATGGTGACGTTCTACGTATTGGAGCGAACAAACTACTGATACATATTCATCCGGGGAGAGAGACTTGTGGCCAGTGTGATTCTTCAGAAATCAAAGCTGCTATTGAGTCAGAGGCAACCTTAGCTGCTGCATCGACTACTACCGAGAAACAATCCCTTTCGCCGAAAGACGCTCCCGTAACAACTAAAAATGATGCCGTTAAAGCAAAATATGCTTACAAGAAGGTTAGAATTTTGCATATTTATATCTAATGAGATATTATTTCACACTATACCTGATGGCATATTTGAATATTCAATCATTCTTTTCGACGCCTTGATTTCTTCATACACTTTTTTCCCCCTGCATTTATTTTCGATTTTTTGTTGCTTTTATATAATTCTGATCGATGCCTGTCATTTTGCCTCTACCAACGGTTGTGCTTGTGGGTAGTGGGTATTGGAACAGTGGTGTATGTCAAATCGATAAAAATTTTATTTTGATTCTCTGTTTTAATTTAAACAAGGCATAGAGATAGTTTTATTTATTTCAAATGGCAGGCGTTTAGATAGTCTTTATTAGCCCTTTAGTTGAATTCGGACTTCACGGAGGAGAGGAACAGACAAAATCACAAAATGTCGAGAGTGGGAACAGAAGACTGATCCACAGATGTAAAAGAGACAGACAGACACAATGACATAGAAAAGGCATTGTGGATACTGTGGAAGTGGTGGAATATGACAAACAGTAGGGTCACGATAGTTCGAAGTCAGAAGTCAACCGCCGAATAATAGACTTTTTGCCGTATGAATATACGTTGCCCAGGGTGCACCGCGTGGAGGTAAGTCTATTACACGCCTCGCCATAGAGATGGGTGTATTTAGGGTTTTATTTTCCAAGCTTCTGCATCTCTTGGAAATCTGATGCCCTAACCCTTAAGCTTCGTAGAGCCTATCTTATCCTAAAATGTATTCTGGCAACCCTTATTATCACAAACTATCTTTCTCTTTATAAACCTTAACTAGATTGGCTTCGGTTTTTTCTTTAGATGTGCGCTTTAGCTTTTATGGACTTAACTTATTATATGGCCTCTATTGTAGAAAAATCGCCGTTCTTGTCCTCGTCAGCGTACTGATGTAGCGCTTAACGATCAATCCCAATACCAGGATCGAGCGGCAATGCGTCGGGCCCGCGATAAGGCCGTAAGCGCCAGTGCCCAGGCGATTGTGGGCACTGCTGCTGCTGCTCAAATTGGTGATGGTCTCTCCTCTATGGGTGGTGCGAGTGTACTAACTCCAATCGATGAGTCCAACGTGGGTGCTCGCCTTCTCACTAAAATGGGGTGGAATAAAGGCGAGGGGTTGGGTCGAGAGAAGGGAGGAATTGCCGAGCCTGTAAGTTTACCTTGAGGAGTTAAGTTTCTTATCAGCCCAGTGTTGAGGTTGAAGGCATAATATGTCTGTCTTATTTTGTTACTCAAACGCTTTTTTATCGTTGAAAAATATGTAAGTAGCTTCAGATATAAAGCGGTTGAAGGTTTTCACAATGCCAAAAACTCTACTATTTGACGAGGTGTTGCTTTTTGGCATCGTCTGTTTCCGCTTTAGTATCAGACCTAATAATTGTTCGCTATCGTGACCTATTTAGAATGCGAATGTTCAAATAATCTTGCTGAATAGCTTTTATTTGAATACTGACCACTGATCCAGTTGAGGGCATCATATTGGTGATTTGTCCGCGTATTTTCAATTATTAACTTTACTGCCTCTCTGTTTTTAATAAAGGCCAAGCTTATTGGGCTTCTCGCATCTGAGTATATGGCTTACTAGATTTACAATGACCACTATAATATAACGTCCATATGTGATAAGGACTTGCTCTCATAATATTTAAACACTTAATTGAAAGGTATTTTAATTAGGGATGGTACCTTCGTAATTATCTGCTGGGTAATTTCATCTATGCATTGCCATTGACTATTAAATCATGTGTTACAGTTTTATATTTTTATTGATATCCTCTGTAACCATTAACTTGTATTGCTTAGATCTCTGCAAGTATGCGATTGGACCATCGAGCGGGTCTGGGGTTCGGTGTTAATGCTGTTCCAATCGATTCCACTCCCTCAGAGTTGAGACAAGCTCGTGCTCTCTCTGTGACACAAGAACGATACCGGCAAATTGAAGAAAGGGAGCGGCAGGGTCAGTCATAGAAGGTTATCGATTCTGATCTAAGTCTGTATAAAATGGATTTGTCTTATTTCTCCATCTGTGTATTTGTGTAATACATGTACTTGTATAATTACATTTGCTATTCTACTAGATGGGAGTTGATGTATAATTGCCAGTAAATAAAATCGAAACGTAGTGGTGTGAATTTCAAAATTTATAGTACAGTGGTTTTAGAAAGCGCCTTCTGGGCCTTTGAATACAAGTCTTCTATTTACCTACTAGCTAGCCAGTAATGTGAGCAACGTTCTAAATCTCTCAATTTCCGAGATATTTCGTCAATAGAATTAGATGTCATTAAGCTACTTCGGACTAATGTCATTGTGTTTTAAAAAATCACATTCAAAAAAAATAGGCGTACTTGTTTAGTTACGTGGCGAACAGTTCTCAGGTTATCCCTAAACCGTCCATCACCTTTATCGATGTATGCACAAAGTATGCTCCTGGCGGCATGACAGTCAGCTGAATCATGAATTGATTTTTCCTAGGTCCGTATCCTCTGTGAAATACCCGAATCCTAGCATCCCTTTTATCCGTCAAACCTAACTGTGTGTGAGTGCGCTCCACTAGACACCTAGCCCGTGACCTCTGGCTTCGTATGAGACCACGTTTACACCACGACGCTGCCAGTACACCACTTTTCACCTTGGGCTAGTTTCTTATGAAACCTTTGAGAAGTGCGTTTTAAGAGTAGTCGGATTTCTCATGGATAAAAGGGAATGACTATGCTTGCAAGGAACGACTTTGCATATTTAATCAAGCATTTATTTATACCAAATTGCAGGTGTTTTGATAGTCATCATTACCCCTTTAGTTGACCTCAGGCTTCACAGAGGGGAATGAACATCAAAGTGAAAAAAGTTCAGATGGGGGGTGGAACAGAAGAGTGTTTCAAAGATGTAAAAGAGACAGACACAAAGGTAGAAAATATGTGAGGTGAGTACTGTGGAAGTAGTCGAATGCGATATGCAGTGGGGTGCTGGTAGCTTGAAGTCAGAAGTCAACGGCCAGTTAATAGACTTTTTTGCCGTATGAGTATACGTTGCCTAGGGTGCACCACGTGGAGGCAAGTCTATCACACACCCCTGTTTATTGGTTGGTTAGCCAATTTTTCTTTAGCTATCCGCTCTTGCCTTCTCTCTTCCATTGGCGTCCATTGGTGAAGGGAAGTAAGTCAGCTGCAACTAGTGAAGTTTACTACTAGCAATCTACTTGATGGGAGAGGTGACCAGGAGAAATTGGGTGGTCCATAAATGCTGGTGGACACCGTGGGTGCAGCGAAAGACGTATGCAGTAGATACAGTAGCCGCTGTGTGGGTTTACTTTGGGATTGGAAGCAAATTAGTTAGGCAGGACAACTGAAAATGCTCGATCAGTCGGGACACACTGGCTCATTGAGGAAATAACATCATGTCTCCTGATCTGGTGCAGTTCGGGTCCCTTAATCGCAAGGAATGAATCACAAGCAGAATCGGTCTGATTTACAGTAGAAAATATTTAAGGATAATTTCCTTAAAAGAACTATGAAAATGACAATTTTATTTCGTGGAAATTGTAGCAACTCGAATCACTATATGAGCGTATACTTCGAAACTCTGGGTTAGAAAAACCTTAGGCATTGTAAAAAATGTTCTTCCCTTATGCTCTAAGGATAGTTATTCCCATTTAGAGCCTTGTTGGCCGAGACAAGTAATTACAAAACTATCATGTGTCCCAATGTGTTCACTTAGCTTGCGTGTTGTTATGATTCCAAAAGGATTTACCTTAATCCTTGACGTACCCTTAAGGCCTTCTGAAGTTTTATCTTGTACCGAAATGCACGCATGGTCCTAATAACCGCATTTTGGCATTCCCCCCCCCCCCCCCCCCCCCACCCCATGCGGTAACTGATCCTTTCAAAAGGCTTTGCTTAGCCTAAACGCTGCCTTCTTTTACCTCAACTTAAAGAGACTGTTAGGCTCTTCAGGATATTTAAGCTTTGGCATTAGATTTTTGAGTAATATCTCTTGTCCGAAGGAGGTTGGAGAGCTATAACCCCTCATTATTTCTATTATATTTGCGCCTTTTCTAAGCTTTTCCTACAGATTACCAGGAATATGTTCAGTAGGCATTTATTTTGTCTGTCTGTACAAAAACATTAACATTTCAATTAAGATTCTAAGGTGTCTTAAGAATAAAATTAGCTTTTAATGGCTTCCAAATGAAATCAGCTTTAATTATTGTGAGCTAAAATGGTCATATCGCATTCATTATTTTTCTTTCTTCTAATTTCAAAATCAGTTTAAGTCGATTACTAATTAGAGAAGTTGGATATTAAATTTTATCTGATAGAAAAATTTGATTCCCTCCCTCTGTTTAGATTAGCGTGACTTAACACAACATCTGCTTTGAATACAGCAACACGTAATGGAGATTTGAAACCCCCAATCTCAATTGCCAAATGCGCGCCTTTTCCCAAACAGCGTTTTACCAACTGTAGTTGTTTATTTACCTTTCCAAATAGTAACAGTGTACACTATCTTTATCAAAATATGCACATATTTCTCCACACATGGCGAGATTTACAATCTCTAAGATATGTTAGCCCCCTTTAGCAATAATTCTTATTTTTTATTATCAACCAATAAGCCAATTCAATTATTACTCGCCGTGTTTAAATAACGCCCCTCCTCGTTATTTGTGAACCGGCACCAGATGTTACCACTTAAAGCGAAGCATATTTGCCTAATTTGCCATCTACTGCTCGATTAAGACCTGGGGGGTGGCGGAGGGGGGAGAGATTCTTCTGCATTGGTGTTATGTTAGTAGTTAAGTTTCCACTCTGGTATAAGTAGCATATCTACTGAGAAGCACTAACTTTAGGTTTAAATCATGTCATCAGTTTTAACGTTGAAGTGTTTTTTGCGCTGGTAATATGCATTTCAGTGGAAATGAAATAAAAATTCATGATTTCCGCTATTATATTTCTGGTACGGGGTGTGCGATAGACTTACCTCCACGTGGTGCACCCTGGGCAACGCATACTCATACGGCAAAAAGGTCTATTAACCGACAGTTGACTTCTGACTTCAAACTACCATCACCCCACTGTATGTCATATTCGACCACTTTCACAGTACTCACCTCACCTTTCATCTACCTTTGTGTCTGTCTCTTTGAAACACTCTTCTGTCCCCCTCTTCTTTCTTTCACTTTCATGTTCCTTCTCCTCTCTATGGAGCCCGAAGTTAGCTAAAGGGCTAATGATGACTATCAAAACGCCTGCCATTTGAAATAAATTAATTTTTCTGGTACAACAAGTTGTGAAAATTCCACCCATCTTTACTAAAGGTGATCTCAAAATTTTGGCAATAACACAAGCTCTCTATCTCTCTTATTTCACCCTAAACAAGCCTTACCAGTTTGCATATTTTTAAGTTTCGGCATGGCGGCAGGCCCTATTAAACCCACCACATATGTACCACATCAAATTTTTCAAATCAACTTTGCATTTGAAAGTGTGCCTCTGTTTGTGCCTCACGTGATTTCACTAATTATACGAGGCGAGATCGCTTGAATCCACTCTTGGTACAAGTATGTGGGACTGACTACATATTTTG